GCAGCGCTGTGGACGCCCCCCAGCCAGCGCTTGGGTCTGCCCGCCCGTCGGGGAGCCACCCTCACCCTGGGCTGCTGCGCCGCCAGGCCGTGCACGGGCCACGCGCCGAGCCTGTTTGCGGAGAGCAGGGCCTGGAGACTGTGCTGGGCCATAGAGCTGAGCCGGAAAGCGTGGCCAGGCCGGTCTCGCTTTTCAAATGTTTTTCGAAACCCTTCTCCATTTCCTGGCACAGCCAAGTCCCCCGAAACCAGTTTTGCGTAGCCCTAGAAAACTGTTTGGGAACAGTAGACAACTTTCCCTGGCGCTGGGGCTAGAGAGATGAGGAAGGAGAGAGAGAGGAAAATGTCTCCGTTTTATACATGAATACAAGGCTTGTGTATCACCTAGTCTGTCTGACTTTAACGAACCGTTTCCTTGACTGAAGGAAGAAGAGCCTTGGTCACATTACTAAAGTTTTCGACTCCTGGGCCTCTTTAAAGGGAAGTTCCAGGGTATGGGTTGGAACCCTGGAGTCCCTTGGTTGCTCACCTGGGTGGTGCTGGTGTGTCAGGCTGGATGCTGCTTACTGGATTTCATAGATGCAGCTGAGAGTTTCAGCCATGTATGTCCTTTCAGCAATAAATCCAACCTTAACCAAGATTATTGTGAAAGAAATACGAATAGTGTTGGGGTGTGGAGCCTTTCTTCAGATAGCCTCATAGGTACATTATATATTGCACAATTATTTTTGTTTGATGGACTGTGCTCTCTGTTAAAATGATTATAAAATTTGCCTGCAGCCAGCTTTATTTGAAAAGAACTGCATTTGCTGGTTAGGGAGAGACAGTATCAAGCTCATGTACTACTTTAAAAATTATAACCAAAATTGACCATGGCAAACTATTTACTCTTTTAATCTTTGTATTATAGATTGGTAGTGGTTTTAAACAGTACAGCTTGTCCAGTGATTGATCCTGGAAGAGGGATTTTGCTGGACCAGGGGAGATCATTTCTGGCCTCCTGTCACCAGTGCCCCCTCCCCCCCCAGCCCTCGCTTCACTGCCAGCTTTCTGGCCAGCTCCCCCTCTACCACTGGTACTCACTGCCCTGCCAGCACTTGCTGTGTGCCAGGCTCCTGCTGCCATGTTGGGCAGCCCCACCACCTCTGTACTCCAGGCTCCTTCTGCTGGGGTGGAATCCTGCTGGTGGGACTGCCCGGTACAGCACCTCTGTCTGCCAGGCTCCCGCTTCTGCGCCCAGTTTCTGCTGCTACACTTGGCAGCCCCACTGCCTCCATGTTCTGGGCTCTGGTGCTATACCAGGCAGCTCTCACTGCCCTGTCAGCCCTCAGGGGTCTCAGGTGCTAGCCCTCCACTGGGGCACTCTGTTTCTGGAACATCTGTGATTACCAGAGAGTCCCAGTCTAAAGAGTTTTAAACTGTAGTTGTTAAAAAAAAAAAAAAAAAAAAAAAGCACACTTTTTGATAGCCATCCATAAGAGATTTTTTTAATGACAGTGTTTGAATAATATTTCTAGCAACAAATTTCAGGAGTTATACATATTTTATTAACAATCACTGTATATTACTTGTGAAAATGTATATTAGGAAATTTAACAGGTACATTTAGCAAAGGATTGTTAAATTACTACAGCAAAAACCCATGTGAGATTACTTTTAACACAAGTTTGCTGTCATAAAATATGCTATTTCTGTACTTCTATATCTGGTCAGGATGGGAAGTAACTTTGGGGGAATATTTGAGGTTTAAGTTAGGCAGGGGTAGGCAATAATTTTTGTAGGGGGGCCATTTCACCAATGTTGGTAGGGGTCGCAGGCCTTAGGTGGAAGGGGTAGGTTCTCGGGCTCAAGGGGCAGCTCCCTCTAGGCACTGCATGCAGAGGTGGGGGAAGACTTCACGTTGATTCCCTGTGGTTTGGGGGAGTACAGGAGATCTCTCTCCCTGTCATCTCACCTGGGAGGTATGGCATCCAGAGGGAACCACCAGGTGTTTTGGACAGCTGGAGGTTCCCTCTGGTGCTGTGTGCCTCTGGTGGGGGAGGAAGCTTCGAATGCTCCCCTACTCCCGGGTCTTGATTGACCTATGGGTGGGGGCATAGCAGGGCAGGCCACAGGCCAGATCAAACAGCTTAGTGGGCTGGATTTGGCCTGCAGGCCGTATCTTGCCCATCCCTGGAGTTAGGAATGTGAATGGTTAACCAGTAAGCACCACCCTCCAATCCAACCATAGTAGCCCCAGCCGCTTCAGGAAGTTGGGGTTGGACTCTCCAGGCTGGCTGGGGACCCCGTGACTGACTCAGTTTAAGCGATTAAACATAACTGGTTAAATGGGATTTTACATCCCTAATTGGAATGGACAGGCCATGCAGCAGCAAGAGCCACAAACTGGGCCCTGCTAAGTCTCCTTTGCACTACAGAAAGCAGTCTTAAGGTCTGACTACATTATGGGGCTAAGCTGACCTAAGTTATGCAACTCCAGCTGTATGACTAAGGTCGTTGGAGTTGACATAGTTTAGGTCAACTTATTGCAGTGCCTTTGCTACACTGGGTTGATGGGAGAAGCTCTCCTGTGGACTTACTTTGTGTCTTGTTCCACTGGTGTACCGGCGTAATGGGAGAGTGATCTGAGGTTGATTTAGCAGGTCTTCACAGGACTTGCTAAATTGCAGCGCTGATCCCCATTAAGTGTAAACATATCCTTTAAGTTGGCTAACTGGAGATTTACTCTTTCACAAGGGAATCTTCTGATCAGTATTCTAGCTGTATGCCATCTATGTTTATGCACTCTATAGGGGACTTCAGTTGTTTTGCTTCATTGCATAGTAGGGTCACCAGGCAGACAGCAAGTGTGAAAAATTGGAACAGAAGGTGGGGTAATAGGCACCTAAAACAAAGTCCCAGATATGGGATTGTCCCTATAAAATTGGAACATTTAGTCACTGTATTGCATAGGGGACTTTGATTGTCGGGAAAAGAGGGTGTGGCTACACTGGGGCAATTCCTGGCTATTGAAATGTCCTTTTAGAGTATTTCTATGCAATGAAGAAAATTCTGTGGCTGACCCATGACAGCTGATTGGGGCTGAAGCTGCTGGGCTGTTTTATTTCATGTAAACTTGTGGACTTGGGCTGGAGCCTGGGCTGTAGGATCCTTCCGGGTGGGAAGGGCCCAGAGTTTGGGTTGAAGCCTAAACCCAGAAGTCTACACAGCAATGCAACATCTCTTCAGCCAGAGCTCCATGAGCCCAAGTTATCTAGCAGTGATCATCCACAGGTTTTCCTTTGCTGTGTAGATGTACCATCACTAGCCACTATAACTGGAGCAGCCCCAAGGCTATTCTAAGTTGTGGGGGGGCGAGGGAGGGGACTGACTGCCAGATGACTCTGGATTTGTTTTGGAAGACATAAGTAATATAAACTATTCCACTATATCCTATCCATAAATGCAGATCCAGCCCTTACCGTCTAAAATATGGATATGTTTCAGTTTTGCTATTTATTTGGCCCTGTATCTTCTATATACATTTTGATTTTATGGAAAATAATATATTTTTAATAATGTGGTTAATTTGTGTTTTTAAAAGGTTCATTGGATTTCTTTTACAGCTATGTTGCCAGTTGATCCTATTCAAGAAAACTCAGTTCGTACAGTACAAGACTGCATTTTTTCAGTAGCTTACCCTACTCCTTTTAAATCCAGAGTTCTCCTTGTAGCAGTTTCAAAGGTTAGGCTTTATTTATTTCCTAGGATATAGTGTTCCTGTTTTATTAATATGTATATTTAAAATTAATAGAAAATTTTGAACACAAAATGTATTATGTATATGCTACACCTTCATTTTAGTGATGTCTCTTAACTCAAATAATAGTGTAAACAAAATCTCACTGCGATTGGAACTTTGATAACTTTGAAATAATTTTGGTTTTTTCAGGATGTTCTGGAAAATATTTTAGACTTTGATGCATCTATCAAAGAAACAGATGATTTTCTTCAGTTTGTCAGTGGTGGGAAAGTGGTATTAGGGTCTATTCCTCTGGCCCATAGGTATGGAGGTAATCAGGTAACTAATTCCAGTTATTTCTCATGCTAATATGCATTTAGGTGTGGGCCTTCAGAATTTGAATTATCTCTTGAAAATCTGTTTTAAAAAAGTCGGTGATCATTAAGGGCTAGATAGTAATTTTACATGCTGTCTTGTGTAAGGGACTGTGCAGACAAGGGGGGGAATTGTAAATCTCGGTCACAGTTTCCTCCTGTTAATAAACAGATTTCCTTCATAAATCTTCAGCAGTAAGTATTTGCAGGATTATATTGAAGCAGTGTTTCTAGAATCCATCCCTTATAGTTGCTCAGGCAATCATTAGCATTAAGTTTGTATCATTTAGGTTGTGCTAAAATATTTGTAAATAAAGTATTTGTACATGTTAGCCAAAAGAAAATGACTTCATTTTTTTCATTGCTGTTCTTGTTAGTTTGGTAACTGGGCAGGACAACTTGGTGATGGAAGAGCCCACTTGATTGGAGTGTACACAAACAGGTACAGCATGCATTATTTTAAAACGTTCATATAGCTTTTTATGCAATATTTGGTTGACCTGTGGCTACCCCAGTATGGATCATTATAAATCCTGGAGTTGTTTTTGTAGGTTTGGTGAAAGATGGGAATTACACTTGAAAGGTTCAGGAAAGACTCCATATTCAAGGTATAGTAGAGTTAATTCACATAGACAGAAGTTTAATGTTTTCTCTACATATTTTTAAAAAAGACGAAATATTCACAATCCATTTGTTCTCTTTAGAAATGGTGATGGAAGAGCTGTGCTTCGATCCTCTGTGCGAGAATTTTTGTGCAGTGAGGCCATGCACTACCTCGGAATTCCTACAAGCAGAGCAGCTAGGTATTACCAATCTTTTCTTTTTTTGCAGCATTTGTATTTATAGAAATAATGAAACTGAGTTTTGGGATTGGGCTTTGTTGGCTTGAGCTAGCATCAATGAACTGGAATAGCCATTTTCTTAACAAAAAACTTAAAAAACAACAAATAGACTTAAAGATTAGCAAAGCATTGTAGATGGTATCGTGAGCTTTCGTGGGCACAACTCACTTCTTCAGATGACAGGAGATAAATTTCTTAAGATATTTTAGAAGTTTGAAGTATGAAGACATGTTCCCCATGTAAAAAACTTAAGGGGTATATTTTAGCACTAACTGCAACTCTGCATGCAGAAAACTTCTTCATGATTGTTAGGATTGAGAATTTTCATTATGAATTAATTCACTTTTGCTTCTGAAGTGGTTTGCAAATACATTTTTGTTGATATTACTATTAGCTGTAACTTTCTCTGTTTTGGGGTGAACAGCTGGATGCAAAAGAGGAGGAGAGATGTTTATGTCTTAAAAGGACACCATCAGTGTGAAATCTTCTCAGGTCTCAAAAATGAGATAAAATTAATTTGAGAAACTGCATCTGCCACTAACTTTCTCTTTCAGTTTTATCTGGTGGTATAATCACAATTTCCATTACAAAAACGTTTTACTCTCCCGTATTGCTGTATGAAATACCAGTGCAAGGAGCAGGATGAGCTAGCTTACCCAGTTCTTGATCCTATAAATCAGGGCTACTCAATTTTAGAAGCTCCAGCGGCCACAATGATACTCACAGCACATGTCAAGGGCCGCAACTTAAGTATGGTTGCATATACCTGCATATATATATGCAAATAGTTTCTTTCACACTGACGGGCATGAATACAAAGCACTTCCCACAATGCTCCAGCGCTCCTGGCACCTCCTCCCTGGGGGCTAGAAATGCCGACACTCTGTACCCCTCTGTTCCAGCCAGCCCATCCACTTGCGTCTTTCAAAGTTTACCCCGTCTGGGAGATGCCTCGCCATTGTTGAGCGTGTTCCCAGTGGAGGCCATGTTCAAAGGATCCCACCTGTGTTGAGCCCCACATAAACCCAAACTGCACTGTGGGCCACAAACAAACAGGCCGTAGGCCACATGCAACCAGTGAGCCACATGCTGAGTAGTCCTGCTATAAATAACGTGCTCACACTTTACAGGGATATGTGTGGTCAGTGAGACTATTCATGAATAAAATAAGCACCCATGAAAGTCTTTGCAGGATGAGAGCTTAAGGGTATGTCTGCACTGTAGAGTTTTTTCAGAAAATCGTCGTTTTTCCGAAAAAACTTCACTTACGTCCACACTGCAATCACATTCTTTCAAAAAAAATCGAAAGACTAGAGGAGTTTTTACGACATTGGTAAATCTCTTTCTACGAGGAAGAAGCTTTTTTCTGAAAGAGCTCTTTTGGAAAAAGGTGTGTGTGGACGGGGAAGAGGGAGTTTTTTCGCAAGAAGAGGAAAAAGCACAGGTGCCCTGGTGGCTACTCCATCCATAGTAATTACAGCTTAAATGCGAGATAGCACCCATTCAGCTTTTTCAATGTGGTTTTGCTGTGTATATGCTCTCTTTCGGAAGAAGTTTTCAGAAGATCTCTTCCGGAAAAGCTTCGTCCAAAAGAAGCCTGCAGTCTAGACATAGTTTAAATAACTATGTATGGAAAAAAGGTGAAAATAATGATCTTCAAGTACTGTCATAAAAAAAGAAAACAAATGGCAAAAATAGAGAAAACCATTTTGTCTTCCATATCTTTCAGTTGCAGTAACCTTAGTATGTTTCTTAACATGATAGGAAAACTATTTTAAATTAATAGCATGCATTTTAGGTTAAAGGTGCCCCTCTAAGATAATCAGATGCTTTTCTTAATTATTACAGAATTTTTTAAACTTATGTTGGCACAAAATCTGAAATAAAAGCAAAAATCAAGTATATTAGTGTCCTTCAGGTTTAAAAAAAGCAAACAGTGATCATATTTTAAAAAATCGAATCTGTTTAAGGTATCAAAACTTTAATAAGTACATTCATCTATTTTCTTTCTTAGAATTTTGTGAACCAAAAACTTTCAAAATATCTGTGGTTAAAATTGTGGCATTTATTTTGTGTTCCACATAACACGGTCATATCTGGGGCTCATATATTTCAGAGTTCAGAGAAAGTAAACATTCTGCAGCAAATGCATCACATTCAGCTGTCACAATACAAACTCTTGTGGTTTCTGTGGTTGCAAACCTCTCTAACATTATTTTTAAACACACTTGCTCTGCTGGAGTACAGTGTTTGTAAATGACATGTCAGAAGGTCTGTTCACTCATTTCAACAAAAGATCTCAGAGTGTCAGTAAGTGATGCAAACCCACAAATTTGTGTAGACATTAGTGTGAAAGCTTAAGGCCAGGTTATGTCCTTCCTTTACTGTTGTCTGAACAAATCGTTCACTTCAGTGCTACTATCAAACATTATTCCTTAACTGTGTACTAAATGTGTTGCATGCATAGTATTCATTAGCACATTGTACTTGGCAATTTGGTAAAGTGTCACTGAAATAATTGTAAAACTGACGAGTAGTCCTGTGGCAACTTAGAGCAGCATTTCTCAAAGTCTTCCGTGGTCCCACTCTGTGAGAGCTGCTCCGGGGCTGCTCCGGTTTATTTACTTACTGGCTCCCATTGGCTGCGGTTCATCATTTGCAACCAAGGGAAGCTATGGGAAGCAAAGTGTCCTGGGCTGCTGCTTCCCACAGCTTCTCTTGGCTGTAAATGGTGTAGGGATGTAGTAGTTTAGTCTATCAACCAATAAGCAAAAGCTTATCAATTAATGTTAGAGGCTACACACATTTCACCCCTCCCCTGCCAGTAAATTTTTTTAGCAGGTTGGCCAGCAGCCCAGTTCAGTCCTGTCGTGTCTGGGACATACCCCCAGGGCTGGCCTTAGGCTGATTCGCCCAATTCCCCCAAATGGGGCCCCGTGCCTAAAGGGACCCCGCGCCCTGAACCCGGAAGTGTGCTGGGCGCGATGGGCGGCGAGTTAATATTCAGAGCCGGGGGCCCTGCTCCAGCAGTATGTGGAGCCGGGTCTCTCCCCAGCCCCCCCCTGCCAGCCCCCCCGCGCGTCCTCCCACAACGTCCCCATTGGCCCCGGCCTGTCCCTGCCGTGCACTGCTCTCAGTGCGACTCCCCCTCGCTGGCTGCTGCTTCCATGCGTGGCGTTCTCAGGTGAGTGGGAGGACACCCAGGCGTGACGTAACGTCACGGCCCGGGACTTTAAAACTCTTTGGCGCCACGTTGCGTCGTGCGGCCTAGCTTCGGGTTCGGAGTCCAGGGCCCGACCGCAGACTGCAGCCCCGCAAAGTGGAAGGCAGAAGGTAGCAGAGGGGGAAAACTCGGGGGAAGGGGGGGAGAGGAAGGGGCTTGTGCTGAGGGGAAGGAGGCAGGTCAGGAGAAGAAAGGGGAAGGAACCAAGGGACAGGGGGGGAGAGGGATAAATGGAGAGGAAGGGGCTTGTGCGGAGGGGGGAGGGGTGGGAAAGGAAGGGGCTTGTGCGGAGGGGGAGGGGGAAGAAAGAGGAAGGCACCAAGAGAGTGGAGGAGAGACAAATGGCAGGGGGCCAAGTGCAGAGAAAAAGGGCAGGAGGGGAGGTGTCCGTGGGAGTAGGGACAGGGTGATGCTGAGAGAGGAGAGGAGAGGAAAAGGGCATTGGGGGCTCGAGGAGGGAGAGGTGCTGGGAGAAGGTTTGAAAGAAGGGGTGGGCATGAGAAAGGTGGGGATGAAGCAAGTCATGTGTGAGGGCACAGAGGGCAGGAGGGGAATGGGACAGAGAGTGGGCATCAGGGAAAAAGAGGGCAAAGGGGCCAGGGGCAGTGAGGGAAGGGGGAGGCACCAGGAGGATGCAGGGCTAAGGGTAGGTGAGGTGCCAGCCCTACTGTCTTTTCTCCTAACAATGTGCCTATTGTACCAGTTTGCAATGTAAAGGCAGTTATCCCTACTGGTTGTACTTAATCGCAGATACAACACTTTATTTGGTCTGCTCTGGGCCCATGAGCAGCGTATATAAAAGGCCAAGGAAGCTAAGCCTCCCCAAAAAAGGCTGACCATGCAGCGGGGAAATGCTGTGGCTAAGGGATGTTAAGAAGCGGGTATTTAACTAATCATGTCGACCAGTGTTTCTCAACCAGTGGTACAAGTTCCTTTAGGGGTACTCGAGAGAAATCTGGGGGGTACATCAACATAACTGAAATTTGGAGAAAACTGAATTTTTGTTTTAAGTTTTACAGCGTTTTATTATTTTTGTACTTTTTACACCCAAAATTTTCATTGCCTGCCTGGCTGCGATTAAGTTGTTTAAACAAATGTGTTGCAATGGTAGAAAAATATGGTGTCTGAAAACTGTAGGTACTGGGGGTAATTTTTTTTTAAAAGGCGGTACTTAAAAAAGGTTGAGAAACACCGATGTAGTCGATAGAATTTTTATTGACTACATGATTAGTCAATAGGGGAAGGTGCTCAGTTCCAGCTTGTGCTGGGCCCGGGAGCTACCCATTGTACCACTCAGCAGTTTAACTGTAGTAAGAGCTGGGTGGGCAGGCAGCCATGCTCCTACTACATTTAAAATGCAGACCTACAGCATGTTCCCAGTGAGGAGCGTAGGCACTTTTGCATGGCTCCTCAGCCAGTTGATCCATGTGTTGGACATCCCACCAGGGCAGATACCACCTTTTTGTAAGCAAATTACCAGTTGCTGGTATTTTCCTCTCCCTCAAGTGATGGATGCACTGTCAGTAATAAAGGCAGTCATATTTCTATGTTGGAAATTTGCAGGAAATCTGTTAGCATTCAAGTGATCCAAAAGAACTAATAAAAATCCCTGCAGCCTTGTTTCTGTTGAAGATAGTAAAAACTTCACTGCTCTGAGGTACACAGTTTTGAGTGACCATGTGCTTGCTCACTTCCCTATTGCTATTCATTCCATATTGTTGAGATTTTTGCCCATTTCTCTTGAATTATTGAGGTTTTCTCATTTTGTTTCTGCTAAAATCTAACTGTTGCCATCACACATTCCCTGACTAATGTATTCATCCAACATGGCTATGTCCAAATCAGCCTTTGTTCAGAAAAAATCTCCCATGTTGTTAATTTATCTATTGAGATTTCAAGCTTACTCTGATTACATAGTTCTACCTTAAACAGTGGTTAAAACTATGGCAGCTGCCATCTTTGCTAGTGCTTTCACTGTTGGTACCACTAATAGAACTGCACCAGTTTAACAATAGCGGGAAACATTTTCTGAAAGAAAAAAGGCTAATATAATCAATGTCTATGTAAAATCCATTGAGTTGCCATACATAAAAGATCAGCAGAGAATTCCTGGAAGGGAGCTCACTGTGAGAGTCCCTTGACGTTGAAAATGGCTATCCCAACCCTTATCTGAAATAATCCACCTTCTTTGGCCTTTAGGGTACTGATCAAAATCCATTAATGTGACTAAAAGGAAGGTTGAGTCTTGTAAAGTATATGACGGACTCTGGATTTTTATCTGCAGAAGATAAGGTTTTTCACTAGCAAAAATGGGGAGATTTGAGTTTGGTGGACTTTTTTTTTTTTTAATGAAAAGTTGATGGTTTGCTATTGCTGTTTTTCTCTTGGGTAAATAGAAGTATTTTTAATTATCTGATACCTAGGTTAGATATTCTTTTAATGTTCATTTGACAAAGTCTAAATAAATAGGCAAATCTCTAACCAGTCTCTGATATTTTTTTATAAGATGAACAAAAGCTTAGGCTAATTGGGAACATTGGCTAATTTAATTTGCAGAACTAATTTTGAGGATTCAGTCTTTTTGACAGCAATGAGGTGGGATTTCTCTATTTTGTGGTCAGTCTTTTTTTTCTTGAAAGACATCTGTCCTTTGTTTTTTTATCTCTAACTTAAGAAAGAACAGTTTAACCATTCACTGAAACTTCAGACTTACCAGTTTTCAGTTCCCATATTTTCATACTTCTGCATGCAGAACAATCCTACTGTTGGCTCTTTACAGTTAGTAGAGAATGTGCAGATTTATTTCTGAAGATGTCTGTTAACAATCTAGTGATGAGATGCAGTGATCTAGCTCCTTCAAATCACATAATGGAATGAAGTTTCCTGGTGTATGAGTGGACATTACATATGGATTTTCTAAATGCAAATAAACTTTCCTCCTCTTAGGATCCTAGGATTTATTAGGCTTTTAATAAAACATTCCACAGAACAACTAGTTATTTATGGACCATGGACAGGTATCCCTTTTTCAGTTGTTAGCAAGCAGAAATACAAAAAAAAAACCCAAAACAGAAAAAAGTCGAAAAATACAGGTAAATCTCCTTGCTTCTAGTCACTGGGACAAGAGTTCTTCCTGTGGGCTCATTGGTCAGACTCTATAATCTCCCAGGCCTCATTCACAGAGAAAGGTAGCAGATACCATACCTCCTACTGCATTAATTGTTAGAGTAATGAGAACTTCAGAGGGGTAGCTGAGTTAGTCTGTAACAGGAAAAATTTTAAAAACAACAAATAATCTGGTAGCACTTTGAAGACTAACAAAATATGTAGATGGTATCATGAGCTTTCGTGGGCACAGCCCACATCTTCAGATGATACCATTTACATATTCTGTTAGTCTTTAGAGTAATGAGAGTTACTTACAAAGAAAACTCAGCTTCTTAACCGGTTATTCTCAGATACTTTTCTGCTGTAGGTAGAGGAATACTTTGTTAGTTGTCTGAACCTTAAAGGGCTAATACACACCATCCCATACACATTTTTGTTTTAGTTTTACTTTCTTTATTGGATTTGCTTCTTCTGGCTTTATTTATATATTGACTTGTTATTTTGGGCTTTAAACTACTAATTCTTAAGTGTGTCTAATTAATTAATGACATTGTTCAGACTGAAAAACACAATCTTCATAACTCCAGAACAACATATTTGAAGGCTCTTCTGTTTGGAGTTTCCATCTTCTACTTTGGAGAGGTCCACTCCTTGAACTTGTGGGGAAGAGCTATCCCTGCAAGGTTGGTGTGGATTGGTTCTTTGCTGATCTCTGTACGGTCACAGACGGGACTGCCAAATAATGCTGAAAATTCTCTTCTATTTTGTTAATCTTATGAAATAATACATTTTGGAGAGAAAGTGAATTGTACGCTTTAGTTCTGCATGATGATGTAAATGAAAAATACATGTTTTAGGCAGGGGCATATCCATGGATTGGCCTAGGTGGGCTGTGGCCCTCCTACTTCAGATCCACCCCACCCTCTGTCTTGGCCCTTGCCCTTCTAAACCCTGTGCTCCAGCTGGGCCTGGAGAGTGGTGTCAGAGTCTGCCCTATTCGGCTTGGACAGCATTCTTGCTATGGAACAGAGTTAGCTGCCATTTTTGCACAGAAACTCTGCAGTTTAGACATAGGGTTTGAGAGGTACTCGGTTTCTTTCTAGTAGCATCAAAATTTCATGCAAATTGATAAAAAAATTATATTTGAAAAGTTAAAGTGCATCTGCCAATGAAAAACTACAACCCTTTCCCTCACAAAACACATTATGGCCCTTTGATATCTGTGTTAGGATCCTTTTCAGTAAGCAGGATCACTGCAAATAGTAGTAAGTCTCTCCATGAGACTACTAATATGATAGAACTAGTTCACATCAAGAAAGAAACCTACATTGTGAAGTTAGTGTTTTGGGTCTTTTTTAATTTTCCTTCAACCAGCTGGGAGTCTGAGACTATTGTTAATTATCTTACAATGGTATCTATCAGTTAATAATCAGAATCCCAAACATGAGAGGTGCTGTATAGTACAAATTAAAAAAAAACCCATAATCCTCTCACCAGAGCTCAACATTTAAGATTATGACGAGATGGCCAAGATGAAAGAAACAAAGGATGGTTTGTGTGGTTGGAAGACAAGGTAAAGGTGAAACAAACACATTTTGCAATAAGCAGTAGCTTCATCTTGTCACCAGCTTATATAATTTATAAAGTCTTAAGCATACCAGCACACAAATTATTCATCTTTTCTTTCTTCTTTAAAATAAAATATGATTGCAAAAGTGGCTTGGAGTTGGGTATAAAATATTTTTGCTGAGACATCTTTCATGGCTTTCTCGTTTTTCTTACAGCTTAGTTGTAAGTGATGATGATGTGTGGAGAGATCAGTTTTACAATGGAAGTGTTAAAAAAGAAAGAGGTAATCAATGCATTTAAAATATTCTCCAATCATTTTTTTACATAGTGCACTTTCCAAGTATACATTATGTTTAGAACAAAAATATGCACTGTATCATCTCATTTCTAGAGAGTTCTTTATTTAGATATATCTTTCCTCCTGAGGAAATCAGCCCTCAAATATTTCTTAATTTAAAATTCTTGTACTCAGGACTGCTGTTGGTGAAGTACACCTGATCTGTGTGTGTGTTTTCTCTTTCCAAATTTGATTGTAACCGCTGCAACAGATGAGGTGAAGGGGGAATTTTGATGGAGCTCCCCTCCAACGTTGTCCTCTTTTTGGGAACCTGAAATGTGGTAACCCTTACCTTAATTATTGCTACAAAATACTTTCTCTCTGAGTTAGGGAGAATGAAGAAGTAATGTTAAAAAGAGAAGCTAAAATTGCTTATGATTTTTATGGCAAATAAAAGTGCACATGTTGGAGGAAAGGTTGTGGGGAAGGGTAGGAATAGAAGGGGAAGGAAGGTTGTTGCCTCAGTACCTTCCCCTGGAAAAGGTTTCAAAGAGTTAATATACAACTTGCAGTATATTAATGCAATTCCCAAAGAAGACTTTTCTCCCCCCCCTTTATTCTTTTAGTATGTATGTCTTATTTCTCAGCTTTAAGTTAGGTGACTATGGCCCTCCATAATAATCCTGATACATTCCTCTATTTGAATTAGCATTGCGTGACAAGTGATGCTGTTTCTGACAGGATGAGTTTTCTTGAACATTTGATCCATGCTTCTAGGCCTACATTTTCACAAGTGACTAGTAGGGATGTGAACAGGTAACTGGTTAACCAGTAAACATCACCCTTAACAGGTGATGCTTACCAGGTAACAATTAACTGTTCCCTGGGAGCGGCCCATGGAGCATGGTGACTTGTAGGCTGATAGTCAGGAGCCTTGCGTGGGGCCGGAAATGGCAGCTGAGGCGGGGCTGCCACTTCTCTGCCCTGCACAAGGCTGCGACTCCCAACCCATGCAGGCAGGGAGCTGGCGTCTCACTGTAGGGTCAGAAGAAGCCAGGCTGGAGCATCCCCTGCCTACGGTAAAGGGGAGGGGAGATGCTCCAGTCCCACTGCCTGCCCCTGTTTAATCAGTTGACAGGTTAAACTTAATGTTTCACCAGTTATCCTATTACAGGGGATTTTACATCCCTAGTGAATAGAAAACCAAAATCACTACTCTTTTTTGAAATGTGGCCCTTTTCAACCTCTGATTCATTTCTTTAGTCTCTTTTTGGTTTTCTTCTTCATTTCATAATCATTTGCCCCTTTTTCTTCTTGGAATTAAATGCACAGTTTTCCATATAAGCTCCTATTTCTTTTTTAAAGGTTTTATGTATGTGTCATTTTCAAACAACTTAAACATTTAAGGGTAAAATATTTGTTTTAATGATGTACTCACACTCCTATTTGATTTTTATGTTTTATTTGTTTATGTAAAATGTGTATGTTTTCTGTATGTGTGTGTATACGTATATGTGCGTACGTGTGTGTGTATGTGTGTGTGTGTATTATTATGTGTTGCTGTAATACTTGTCTTAAATTTAAATAGAGTATCAGCAGGTTAACCTCCGTGTTTGTGTTTAAGGTGCAGTAGTCTTGCGTGTTGCCAAATCATGGTTTCGTATAGGTTCCTTGGAAATTTTAGCTCATTCTAGGGAACTGGAGTTGCAAAGGTTAGTATGAAATCTTCATAGTAATTACATTAATTCTAATCAGTAAAATCTATTAAAAAATGTATGTACAGTAGTATTTTAGGAAGATCACTTATTGGATTGAGTCACCTGATTTTACTATTTTTTTTATAAGGAAAGGAGTACTATTTAATAAACATTCAAATGCAAGATATTTTTACTAAGGGCTGCATTTAACTCATTGGGCTTGACCTTGCAAAAACATACATACAAGCTTAAATTCACACACAAGTAGTTCCATTAATTAAGCTTAATAAGCAGGGCTTGACAAACCGCAGCGAAATCTACTCGCCAGCCCCGCACTGCGCATGCGCTAGACCTGCATTGCGCATGCGCATGCCGCTGGTGAACGGGGCGACTGGCTGAAATCTACTTGCCCTGGGCGAGTAGATACACTGATTTGTCGAGCCCTGCTAATAAGGATTAATTTTCATAAGGGTCTGGGTGTGCTAAATACTGGTTTTGCTTAAAAAACTCTTGATTCTTTTTCAGGACACTATTAGATTTTATCATACAAGAACATTTTCCATCAATCAACATGAATGATTCAAATAGATATCTAGTGAGTATAAAAGAGACTTTCACTTTGCATGAGTATTGTGAACAAAACTATAATTTGTTTTAAGTCATAAAAAGTAAATGTCACTGAAATGAGCTTGCTGTTTTTCTTCAAACAGGTGTTTGCAAATATTCTGTAATGTTTTCACAGTTCTCCCTTCAACATCAAGAGTGAAGATTGTCTTTCCCAGCCCTTTTCCTTTACACGAACATTTTTATGTTAAGCTAATTTTCCATTAACGTTGGTTCCCCTTGTGCCTTTCATATACTAACCCTAGACTAGTAATAGAGTGCAGGATCATGCTCTACCCATAACAAATGCAATATATTTTGATCATTACTGTAACACTTTTGTTTTAGCATTATCAATATTGCAACTGAATGTGTGTATTGTCACTCACCACTGTGTATTCTTGGATAAGATCAGCCACAATCTCATTGAGAATGCCATGTAAAATTTCTGATAGGCATGAAAATACATGCCCAAATATGAAAGAGAAAATAGAATATAGTGTACCAACTGTTATTTTAATTACATTATATATTCAATAACAAACTGTTTATTTGTATTTTTTATTGAAAGGGTTTGAAGTGAAAAATGTATTTGATTTCAGGACTTTTTCTCTAAAGTGGTAGTGGAGACAGCAAATCTGATTGCATTGTGGATGTCTGTGGGCTTTGCTCATGGTAAGCTATGATAGCTAAATTAAATTTTTGGTGTAGTAATTGTAAAATATTATTGTCTGTCAAAAATCTCTTTACCCACAATAAACTCAAAGTGTTTTGGGTTTTTTGCCCCATTTTAAACTTTTTTAAAAATTTTAAATAAACACTGATACTCTCATCTGCTAGGCCCAACTTCAGATATTGCAATTTGGATCCACTGTTATCTTGGTCTTTCAGGAAATTTTCTGCTTTGATAAATCAGCAGTGTCTAGACAAAAAAAAAATTATTTTGACAATTTTATTTTTGTTGTTGATTAATTCTAGGTGTGTGCAATACAGATAACTTCAGTTTGTTATCCATAACTATAGATTATGGTCCATTTGGTTTTATGGAATCCTATGATCCAAGTGAGTATAGCACATGTATATGCTTTTTTGTAGGAAATTAAATTCCTTCTTATTGTGTTAAGTTACATAATTTTTGTATGCTCAGAAAGTCCCAACCATTATTAGCACATGGATCCTGCATATATGTGTTACATGTACATTGGTCAGAAAATACGTTTTGTGCATCTAGATGCTTTCTGAGTCAGAGACCAGTTTTATTGTGTATTACACAAGTTGCATTTTAAATGATATATTAAAAAACTTGCAAATAATGTCTATTACTACTAAACCTATTTCCAAGGAGACTCCTTCATACTGATTTTCATCAGATTCACAGATGCTATAGCCGAGATCCCAAAAAAATCTGTAAAACTCAAATACAGCTACAAGTATCCAAAAGTAAAATACATATATTAATTCCTATTAGGGATGTAAAATCCCAGTTAATCAATTAACTGGTTAAACTTTGAATTTAGCCAGTTAACTGAGTAAGTAGGATCCCTCCCCCTACGGGGCTGCTGCTCCCATCCACACACTTCCTTGCCCAACCCCTGCAGTTAACTGGTTACCCATTCATATCCCTAATTCCTATATGTCATATTTTATTAATTTGGCTCTACAGCTACAACTGTTAATATGGGGGGATCAAACCTGCCCACTTATGATACTCTACTGTAAATCTTTCATTATTGAAAGCATGATTTAGATTACTTTCTCCATCTATAATTATTAGATGTATATCCAGAAAATGGTGTTCAGATCTATGTTACCTGAAGTTAGAAGTCACATCCTAGCTGGATGTCAGAATCAGTGGTGTTGAAATCACAGTTTTCATAAAATTTCAACCTCAAATGATGAACATCTCTTGAAATCTGATCTTGTATACCTTAGGCAAACCGTAAAAAGAGGCCCTTTCTAGCTTTAATTCTTTCCTCAAAGTGAAACCAGAGGTGTGGATGTAGATCTGGGGATTTGAATATGTGTCTTGGCTCCTGAAAAATCACAGTTGTGAAGGTAGGCTGGAGAGAAGAGTGGGTTTGCATCCATAGTGTTTTGGGCCCCTATCTAGTAACAATCATTAGATGAAAGTAAAATTCCTATTTGACACACCTGCTGAGATGGTGTTCATAGTCACAGTTCTTGTTTCCTTCTGAGTCCTGGGACTGATCCCCATTAGTATTGCTTGTGATAGTAGTTTCTTCAGAGTGTGAAAAGGAGCATCCAGGATGACAGCTCTGCCCCCGATAGGCACTGATCAGCAAAACTGGCCCTGTTCTGGATGGTATATGCTGCATCCTTTCTAAGGTTGATTCTGTGGTTTTATCCCTTTGGTCCTGTATGCACTATCTGCCTATTTGCCACTCTTTAAAGAGGATTTTCTTGTACTGGAATATTATAACTCTAAATATTTCAGAAGCATATATATAATAATATATATTGTGAAATAAATGTTAGGTTCAGAAAATTAGTGTCACTAGATTACTTAAAATATATGCATCTTATTTACTTAGATTACATCATAAAAAGATACTGCTTGGAAGTCCAGAATCTCTAGGCATCTAGCCATATGATATTTAATAGTAGCATTATTTGTGCTGAAACATTGTTCCGAGTGTAAAAAAGATTGGCAGTTTAAACATCTGAATTGATTCTGCATCTTGAAGTAGGAAAACAACACTTGCAATCATCTGGGTACTTGGGCTTTGAGAATGTAGTCCTTATTTTGGCAAATGTTAGATCTTGGGCTAATCCAGTATAAATAAATATTCTTGTGTTTGGAGTATTCCAATTTAATATTTAGTGCCTGCAGATCTTCTACGAATTTGCTATGTAAATATGAAAAAGTAGCCTAGTTTAATATTTTAATTTTGGTTATTTATTCTGATTAATCTGTTGTAGAAATACGTTTTGTTTCAAACAGATTTTGTTCCAAACACCTCTGATGATGAAAGGAGATATAAAATAGGAAACCAAGCAAAAGTTGGGATGTTTAATCTGAACAAGCTGTTACAATCTCTACAACCTTTATTGGGTCCCAGACAAAGGCAGCTGTAAGTTATCCTTAAAAAAATTTTCACACTTAAAAGGAAGCAGAGAGATGTATTATAATGGCCATATGTGTAGGAGAAAAGGGGGATATCTTTTTAGAAAGTTTGATTTCTAAATCGAAAGATTTTTCTGGATATGTTATGGGACAAGACTGTTTTTAAACATATAGGAAAAATATCAAAATAGGGACAGGAGTGAAATCCTTCATAAATAGATATAAGACAGAGGAAGGTTTCACACTTGAGTGTGAAGCTGAATGTGTGTTTGGTGTTACTACTGGTTTGTAGGATTTGACATTTCCTTATTTTTATAGTGCTTCCCAGATTCTGGAGGGATACTCTGAGCATTATTATACCCAGTAGGTACTTTCATAACTCAGATTTTAAAGAAGCACATACAATAGAATATGGTTTCAGAACAATGTCTTTGATTTCATAATTTTTGTTACTACTTTCAGTTTTACAGAACTATTTAGAGCAAAATTGGGTCTCCTTGGGAAGAGTGAGGACGATAACTATTTGATTGCATTTCTTCTAAGAGTGAGTTAATTATTGGTAATTCTTTTGGGGATATTTGAACTGAAGTCTAATATATTAAAAACACTGATAGAAATATATTTAATTTCATTAGCTCATGGAAGATACAAAGGCTGATTTTACAATGACATTTCGGCAGCTCAGTGAGATTACTCAAAACCAGCTGAAAGAGCTCCATATTCCTCAGGTATTAATTAATACACGATATTTTACAAACATTTTACTGGACTTTAAGCTCACTTAGGGGAGTATGGAATAAATAAGCGAACATAGTAAAAACTGCATGAATCAAATTTTCAGTCACCACGTGGACAGTCACAGAAATACACATACAGCTTCTCTTGCATGAATGCTTGCATATATCATGTATGTCTTCTGAACCACATTAGACGAAAGGATTGCTAAGATGATGCCATCTCCTGACATTTTATTGCTCTTTTAAATGTATATTTTTAAACTGTAGAAATATTCATGGGAAAAAACCCCACATTTAGTGTAGTAATAGTTAAAAGCAGTTCTTCGTAAAATATATATGGTATCTTCAAAGTTTATGTTCTACAGCCTTTACAGACAAGGATTCTGCTACTGCAAATGTTTATTCAAGGCAGTAACTTTATATTTCTTTTTCAAGCAGTGTCCACTTCAGGTGAGCCCAGACCCTTGTACTTTTAATCATTTTTTTAGTGCTCATTGTCATTGGCATGCACATGTGACCTACACTTCCTCGGGCCCTGTTCCAAGGCTGTATAGAGCTGCATTGGGTTAACCTCCCTGTTTCCTTCTCAACCTCCTAGGCCTGACACAGAACATTAGAATCATAGGGCTCAAAGAGACCTAAGGAGGTCATCGAGTCCAGCTTCCTGCCCAAAGCAGAACCAGTCCTAACTAAATCAACCCATCCAAGGGACTTAAAAACCTCTGGGGATGGAAATTCTACTACCTCCCTAGGTGACCCATTCCAGTATGTCACCACCCTTCAAGTGAAATAGTTTTTCCTAATATCTAACCTAGACCTCCCCCACTATAACTTGAGACCATTGCTCCTTGTTCTGTCATCTGTCACTGAGAACAGCCTCTCTCCATCCTCTTTGGAACCTCCTTTCTGGAAGTTGAAGGCTGCAAATCCTCTTCTCTTCTGCAGACTATATAAGCCCAAACCCCTCAGCCTCTCCTCATAGGTCATGTGCTGCAGCCCCCTAATCATTGGAGAGGCTCCACTGGACCCTCTCCAGTGCATCCACATCCTTTCTGTAGTGGGGTGGAGGGGCAGAACTAGACGCAATATTCCAGATGTGGCCTCACCAGTGCCGAATAAAGGAGAATAATCACTTCTCTGGATCTCCTGGCAGTACTCCTCCTAATGCAACCTAATATTCCATTCACCTTCTTGACTATAAGAGCACACTATTGACTCATATCCAGCTTCTCATCCATTGAAATTCCCAGGTCCTTTTCTGCCGAACTGCTACCTAGCCATTTGGTCCCCAGCCTGTAACAATGCTTGGGATTCTTCTGCCCCAAGTGCAGGATTCTGCATTTGTCCTTATTGAACCTCATCAGATTTCTTTTGGCCCAATCCTCTAGTCTGTCTAGGTCACTCTGGAGCCTATCCCTGCCCTCCAATGTATCTTCCTCTTCCCCTACCTTAGTGTCATCCACAAACTTGCTGAGGGTGCAATCAATCCCCTCATCCAGGTCATTAAGATAGTGTGCATTTACTTTTGAAGTGTCTCATCCACATTACCTTTCTTTAGTTATTTTATTTACTTTTTATTTAGTGGGACTTTCTCTTGATCCCTTTTCCCTTTGGGGTAGGGAAACGTCCTGTGTTAGATTCTGCTACCCAGGGGGTTGGGTAAGTCAGGATCTCTGGGCTTCAACTAGTGTATCTCTTACCAGGGAGGCAATTCCATTCAGTGACTGGCATTTCTGTTATCTGTCTTGGCTTAGGGGAATATCATATCCCACAAAAGTGTTCCATCTGCTCAACTTTTAAGGGTAGGGCAAAAAAACATTTGGCGCTAAAACTGAGATGTTCAATGATGGCCCATTCCCTCCAATGGCCTCAAATCCAAGTCAGAAGAACCCTGGATGTCGGTCACTGAATGTACATAGTACCCTGTCAGTTTTGACATGTTCACCTTCTACCTGGGGTAGATCCACTGAGAAGGCCCATAGAAAATGAAGCCATTCTCCACAGAAAGGGTCCACTTCAAAAAGACCTCAATCCCTGCAGAGCAAAACTACTGTGAAGACTTTGCATTCCTCCTTGGGTGTGGCTGAAGCTCCAGATGCTCTCAGTATTGATTCTGTGCCTCGGGCACCATGCTCAGCAGAAGAAAAGCATGCCTCATCAAAGCATTCCTCCTTTCAGAGAGTAGTACCTACAACTCCTTTGGTAAAGTTGACGTCTAAGTTGGCTGCTAAGGCAGCTTCATTACTTGGAAGACACCATGCCTCGTATCCAGTCTCAGCACCCTCCAAGGCATCTTCATCGGTACTGTCTATTTCAACTAGAGTGAACTTACCAAAACAGCATATACTAACAATGGAATGGCACCCTACTCTTCAAATCAACCTGGTATCACAGGAATTCAGATTCTCAAGAGATCTATTTGTTTGAGGGGCCAAAGCCTCCCTTAGTAGTGGGTACCAGGAGGTTATCTGTACCATGCAAAGCACAGTCACTGAGATTGGACCTTTCCCCAATACTACTTGACTTGCCAACATCTTGAGAGTCTACTGGTCCTCCCCCTTTAAAGAGAGAGAAATTTCCTCCAGTTTGAATATTTGGATATAGGGTTCCATAACACTTCATACAAAGTATTTCCATTCTGGCACTTATGACAAGAGAAGAGAGTTGCACTCGAGACTGGCCCATTGTACCCAAAGCTAGTTTGAGCACAAATGGTTGCCACCCTGGATGCCTTTTGGTCCTCTTCAGTGACCTACTGGGATCCATCAACAGTTTTCCCATACCCCTAGTCTCTCTTTCAAGAAATACAGGGAAAGAAGTTCCTGTACTCCAACTGCTCCTCCTCTCTTACCTGAGGCATGTTTGAGGAGCAGGAAGCCAGGGCAAATAAAGAAGTCACTTTCCCCAGATGAAGTTGTTATGCTTCCCTCACTTACTGTGGCTGATGACTTTTGACACTTAAGAGTTAATGAAGTGCATGGCAGATTCCTCCAGATTAGGGAATCACAACATACATCCTGGATATTCTCCAACGGGACTCCCTCTACCCAAGTTGCCTTGCCTACCAATTAGGCTGAGTTGGATCCTGTCAAATCCATCTGGAAGTTCCCTGCAATGATTCTGCTGATGTGCAAATGAGTGGATAAGAAATATTTCATCCTAGCTAAAGACTGAATTTCTGTTCACCCATCCAAAACCAAAGTCTTTAGTGGGGGAGGCAGTAAACGAACATTACAGAAAATATTGTGCTGAGGCTATGCCATATGATATGGGACCGTCTCTGTTCAATATCTTCATCAACTATTTAGATATTGGCATAGAAAGTACGCTTATTAAGTTTGCAGATGATACCAAGCTGGGAGGGGTTACGACTGCTCTGGAGGATAGGGTCATAATTCAAAATGATCTGGACAAATTGGAGAAATGGTCTGAGGAAAACAGGATGAAGTTTAAGGAAGAAACAATCAGTTTCACACATACAGAATGGGAAGCAACTGTCTAGGAAGGAGTACAGCAGAAAGGGATCTAGGGGTTATAGTGGACCACAAGCTGAATATGAGTCAGCAGTGTGGTGTTGTTGCAAAAAAAGCAAACATGATTCTGGGATGCATAACAGGTGTGTTGTGAGCGAGACATGAGAAGTAATTCTTTTGCTCTACTCTGCACTCATTAGGCTTCAGTTGGAGTACTGTGTCGAGTTCTGGGCACCATATTTCAAGAAAGATGTGGAGAAATTGGAGAGGGTCCAGAGAAGAGCAACAAGAATGATTAAAGGTCTAGAGAACATGACCTATGAAGGAAGGCTGAAAGAATTGGGTTTGTTTAGTTTAAAAAAGAGAAAATTGAGGGGGGACATGATAGCAGTTTTCAGGTATCTAAAAGGGTGTCATAAGGAGGAGGGAGAAAACTTGTTCATCTTGGCCTCTGAGGATAGAACAAGAAGCAATGGGCTTAAACTACAGCAAGGGAGGTTTAGTTTGGACTTTTTAGTTTGAAAAAGTTCCTAACTGTCAGGGTAGTCAAACACTGGAATAAATTGCCCAGGGAGGTTGTGGAATCTCCATCTCTGGAGATATTTAAGAGTAGGTTAGATAAATGTCTACCAGGGATGGTCTAGACAGTATTTGGTCTTGCCATGAGGGCAGGGGACTGGACTCAAAGACTTCTCTAGGTATCTTCCAGTCCTAGGATTCTATGATAAGAACTAAAAAAAGTCTTGATCTGTTCAGCAGAAAGACCTACTCATCTATGACTCTTCAGTTTAGGCTCGAACTATCAAGGACTCATGGCTAAATAAAATCACTCAAATTATGCCAAATTCACCACCTTAATTGAGCTATCTACTGGCTGATCAACATGACCAGTTCAGTCCTCTTTGGATGCAGCCAACAATGCCACTTGATCCATCTCTAGGGCAGTAGTCATGCAGTAGACTTCCTGACTCCAGCTGTCTAGATTCCCAAAGGAGGCCCAAATCGTAGTTGAAGATCTTCTCTTCAATGGCCTCAACCTGTTTGCTGAGTCCATGGATGATTCACTATGTACTCTTAAGGATTCTAGAATCATGTTAGAGTGGCGAGGAGTCCTGTGGCACCTTATAGACTAACTGAAGTGTTGGAGCATAAGCTTTCGTGGGCAAAGACCCATGCATCTGATTAAGTGGGACTTTGCCCACGAAAGCTTATGCTCCAACACTTCATTTAATCTATAAGGTGCCACAGGACTCCTCGCCACTCTAACATGATTGAATCACGTTGAGATCCTTTGGAATTTGAACTCCTACAAACAAATGAAAATTTAGTGGATCTCAAGCTAAACAAAGATCCCTCCCCACTTCAATCTTAGAATTTGAGACTGTATCAAACACTCACGAAAAAGTTAGAATTCCTGGGGAAGAGATCACCTGCTCCTTCTGCACCTGCTACTGAACCGTCATTATCATCTAACTGTCAGTTTTGACGGACTGCTCAAGGGCCTGGAACTATATCTTATTATCAAGTTACATATACACAATTTTACGAACCTGCCACGCTTGAGAGAGAATCACATTAAACATATAGATTCTAGAAGTCATAAGATCAGGATATGCTGTCCATTTTACCTGTCTTTCTCATCCATGTTCAAGGGCCCTTCTCCTGACTACCTCTTAAAGCAGAAGGTTAACTTACTTCTCTAAATTGGTGCAGTTTCTCTTCGGCTCAGAAGAAAGGAGTTTTATTCCAGCTACTTTCTGATCCCGAAAAAGAACAGATGGAGATCAGTTTTAAATCTAAGATTCCTAAACAACTTTGTCAAATTTCAAACATGCAGGATGGTGTGACTTACATTTATAATTTAGTGATTACAACTGGTAGATTGGTTTTTAGCCTTCAACCTTCAGGATGCATATTTTCATATTGCAATTCACCCATTTCACAAATGATTCCTGCACTTTTCAAGAGACCAGGATCACTTTCAGTATCATTTGCTCTAGCTTGGCCTTTTGTCTGACCCGAGAGTGTTCTTAAAGGTGCTGTCAGTGATGTCCGCTTACCTTTGACATCTGGGGATTACAATTTTTTTCTATGCCTGGACAACTGGCTACTCAAAGGTCAGTCTTAGAGTGAGGTTTTTGACATCATAAAAAGGATAAAATCTCTTCTATGAGCTAAGGTTGCAGTTCAACACTGAGAAATCCAAGTTGAACTCAGTACAAAGAATAGAGTTCATAAGGGCCTTATTGGACATTATATCAGTTAGAGTGAATCTTCCCTTCAGTGGATTTGTGACATTAATGATTCTTGTCTCTCAAATTCAGATCAGCCCACAGATATAAAAAAGAAGTTAACTTCAATTGCTCCAACACATGGCAGCCTGCACTTTTGTGATACAGTGCGCCAGGCTCTGCCGTTGATATTTCCAGGGGTGGCTCAGGACTGTTTGTTTATACACCAAACAAACACAACATGGACAAGTTAGTGTTGGTCCCTCTTCGGGTATGAGAGTCCCTGAATTGGAGGAGGGACACAAACGAGGTCTGCATGGAGATTACATTTATTCAGCCCCCTCCCTCTATCATTGTAATGACAGATGCAGTCCTGAGGAGTTTGGGGGGGGGGAGGAATATACTTGGAGACATTCACAGTCCAGGGCAAGTGGTTTTCCCAAGAGATATGATGACACATCAGTCTCATCAAACAGAGGGCTGTGAGGAATGCCTGTATCCACTTCCTGTCTTTAATTAGGTACAAATCCATAAACAGTCTCATGGACAACATAGTTTACATATTTTTTGTCAACTGATATGGAGGAGCCAGGTCCCCTTCTCTTTGTGCTGAAGCAGTAAAGCCAGTTGTAAGCTTATTTCAGCAACATATCTTCTGGAGATACAGAATCAGTTATTAAATGACCTCATCAGGCACTACAAATGGGCGTTGGATTATCAAATACTTGATCAAATGTTTTAAAGTTGGGGAATTAAAAAATAGACCTCTTTGCCACTGTGACCAACAAGAAATGCGAACACTTTTGCTCAAGGGTGAGATTGTCCTCTCTCTTTTTGGAGATGTCTTCCTCATTTCATGACAAAAGGCTTTCCATATATGTTTTCCTCAGCACTCCAATTTTAAAGGTGATCAACACTATCAAGTACAACAAAGCCATACTAGTCTCAGTGTGGCCCAGACAGGTATAGTATCCTTTCCTGATTGACCTAGCCATCTGTCAGGTGAACAACCTCCAATCCATTCCTCATCTTTCTGAGGATGCTGGCTGCACTCTTTATCCCAACCTGAAGGTACTTCATCTCACAACTTGGGTCCTATTGGTTCATGGGACTACAGTTGATTTGTTTTGATGAGGTACAAGTATTATTGGATAATAGAAAAGATTCCACCAGATATGCTTACTGCCATAAATGGGAAAGGTTCAGCCAAAGAAGTGTTCCATCTGTTCATTCTTATCTCTTGATCACCTTTTAGAACTAAAAATGATAGGATTGTCTTTCAGTTCTGTCATGGTCCACTTGGAGTCTATAACAGCCTACCATTCAGCAGGTGAAGGCTTCTTAGTCTTTACCCATCTCGCAACTGTAAGATTTCTAAAAAGACTGGGAAACCTTTTTCTCCAAGTTAAGGAGCTTGCTCTTTTCTGGAATTTGAATTTAGTACTCAGGGAGTTCTTCCTTCAATTTCCTGCAGTGTGGAGAGCACCAAAAGTTGAGTTAAGGAACTTTGACTTCAGCTACACAATTAACGTAGCTGAAGTTGCGTATCTTATTTTGACTTTATCCCATAGTGTAGACATACCCTGAGACTGTTTGTGACTATTGTTGGTAGCTCCAAAGATTCGGCAATTTCCACCCCAGACACTACAGGTGGATTTCTGTTCTATCATATTGTGCTATAAATATTTAGAGTTGCAGCTTCCTTCTAAGCTGTTGGCCCATTCCATAAGATCTCTGTCTGCTTCCATGGCATTACTCAAGAATGGAAATTTGTAAGACTGGCACTTAGTCTTCTGTGCATACCTTTCTTAAGCACTATGCGCTGGCCCAGTCTTATCGATCATATGTTGCAACTGGAAATGCTATGGTGTCTTCAATCTTGGACTTAGAACCAAAGTCCCCTTCTCTAGCTTGGTTACTTTTTGATAATCACCTGAACTGGCTGTATTGCCAAGGGACAGTGGTTCTTCCATTAAGGGATTCGGAGGCAATAGGCACACAAATTGGGTGAAGGCTTAAAGATTTTACTAAGCAAATATTAGGTTACAAAGCTTAATATTAGCGTAAAATACAATGAAGCAAATCTTAGAATAAAATACAATACTTATGAAGTATTGTAATCAAACCTCAAAATAAAATGCAGAGCTTACTAGAACAATACAAAGCTTATTAAGCCTAAGCAAACCTTAGAATAAAATGCAGTACTTATTAAGAAAGTACAATACTTAAGTTATTAAGCCTAAGCAGATATCAGAATAAAATGCAATGCCTACGTCCCTTCTGCTGCTGGGAACCCCCTGAAGAAGGATGGCAGACGGACCCCAGTGGCCAATGCGTAGCACCTTCGGCGGCTTTGGTCTGCGCCGAGGTTCCAATGTTAGGAGTATCCCCGGCACTTATATACTGTTAGATCTACAGTAATCACCCCTGTTGTTTTGATAATCTAACAAGATCGTTGATACATTACATATTTTTCCAGGGCAAATAATTAGCATTATCAGGTGGGAAACATTCAGCAAAGATAGCTATGTGATCTTCCCAAGCTCTCCTGCAATCCCATACCAGGTGCATGGTCTTGGGACCTGTCCCAGAACTTGTTGAAAGTCCTCAGTGCATCCCCACACTGTACCATCTTGAGCAAACAGCTAACTCTTTGAGTATAGCAAAAGAATAATAAGAAGCAAAAAGCACAAATGGCTGCCTAGATCATCCAGGCCTGTAAGAAAATGCAGGCACAAAAGGAACGATTGTGGTACACCAACTAATTTCCTCGACCTCACAATCATCTTCTACATTTCCTCTACAGTGGCACACTTATAAAGACACTACTCAAAGAATAACTGGAGTTCTATGCTATATGTCCCTCCCATTGGGTGCTTCATTACTCCCCCACCTTCCCATCTGCTTTGGAATTTTCACTGGGGACTTCATGATACATAGGAGCTAAGGGCAGTTCACCCTGTGTAGCTTTGTACTGGGGCATGAGGAAGCTTAAGGCACATGTATAGGCTGAATGGGCACGCCTACCAAAAGTCTCCAATTACAGGTGCAAGGGGCATGAACACTCCTGAAGTGGAGCATCTATAGGTACACACATCTCAAAGAATTTCCGTTACTGCCCAAGGTAAGTAACCTTTCCATGTAAGTAATCCCATAGGCTGTGTCTACACTGGCCACTTATTCCGGAAAATCAGCCGCTTTTCCGGAATAACTTGCCAGCTGTCTACACTGGCCCCTTGAATTTCCGGAAAAGCACTGACGATCTACTGTAAAATCATCAGTGCTTTTCCGGAAAAACTATGCTGCTCCCATTCGGGCAAAAGTCCTTTTCCGGAAAACTGTTCCGGAAAAGGGCCAGTGTAGACAGCACAGATTTCTTTTCCGCAAAAAAGCCCCGATCGCGAAAATGATGATCGGGGCTTTTTTGCGGAAAAGCGCGTCTAGATTGGCATGGACGCTGTTTCATAAGTCAAAGTGCTTTTCCAGAAAAGCATCCTGCCAATGTAGACGCGCTTTTTCCGGAAATACTTATAACGGAAAACCGCACCGTTTTAAGCATTTCCGGAAAATCATGCCAGTGTAGACGTAGCCATATAGTGCAGTGGAAATACTCACATACTTGAAGTTACTCATTTATGTAGATATTTACTGGAAGAGGTCTTTCTTTTCAAACATAACTAAGTTTGTATTCACAATATGGTCACACTCCTTAAAAAATATGAGTGCTTCCAGCCCTGTCTTGAATCTGGGCCCAACATGGCCCCATACCTCACTTGCTCCCTCTTCAACTACAACCTTTATAATCTTTTATAAATCTGTTTGCTTTGTTGTAAGTAACAAACTGCAGTGTATCTATCATTAACACTGTCTTTTCATTTAGGAATTCTGGGCTCTGCGGGACCTTGCTAAACACAAGTCCTTTTTAGACTGGGTTACTATATACCTCTTGAGATTAGAACGGTAAGATAAATACAGTTTCAAATAAAAAAATAACAAGAGTATGTTTGCTAGTAGAATTTAGATTGGGAAACATAATCTTATCCTGGTCTAGTTTAGATACGGCATGACGTTTAGCCAATCCTATATGTTGTCCTTGAACACTTTTATATGCCATTTTTTTCCTGTGCGTGAAGATATCACTAGCTTTCATAATAATTTCATTATTGAAATGTACAATCTGGTCTGTTCTGAAACTCAAAGCTGTAAAAATGATGTTATGGAGGTCAGCATTTAGTGTCCCTTAGTGACCTGATAACATATTTATTCACTTCACAATTATGGTGTTTTTTTTAAACTGACAACCCAGCAAACTCAGTTTGGGATTTGAAAGTCAAGCTGTGTTTTCTCACTAGTGATATATATTCTCTGGCCAAGTTCTCTTCTCATATACACTTCAACGACCCTGATGCCTTGGGCTTGAGTGACCATACAGATGTGACTCAGTGTGTAATTAAAAGACAGTGGGTTGCATAGGTGTCTGCTTTCCAGTTGAAACCACCTAAAATTCTGTTGTTTCATAAGTCAAATAGAGCCCTATTTTCTCTTAGGGTGCATCTACACAGCACCCTAAACTCAAAATAAAATACAGAATTTGCGCTACACAAATTGCATACCTTATTTCAAACCTATTTCGGAATAGCTTATTTTGAAATTTGGCAGCACCAAATTTCGAAATAACACGCTATTCTGAGCCATTCCTTACCCTCGTCCAACGAGGTTTACCAAAATAATGGGCAGTTTGTGTAAACACAGGATAGCAGTTTCAGGATACCTCCAGTATTCCGAAATAGTTGTGCAGTATAGATGTACCCTTACATAATTGTATTGACTCTGCAGGGTTGACTGGTAAAATATGAGAAATCCACCATTTTTTTTAAATAAAGACAATTCACATTCTCTCTAAACTTAAAGTTACAATTTTTAGGGAGCAAATGTGCACAAAGAGCAAAGCTTCTAGGGAAGAAAATGCTGTTTTCACACAGCTACTTTTCAGAGTATAATTGCATTTAGGGGGTTAATTTTACCCTCATTGAAAATAGTGGCAAAACTTGTATTAATTTCAGTGGAAGGAGAGCAAAATATTTTAAAAAGTAAGTTAACCCCACAAATGCATGGCAAAATTATGTGCTTAATTTACATATTCATTTGTACATGAGGTACAGCCATAAATCTGAAATATTGGTAAATGCCCTGGGAGATTTGTAATATGGCATTTGTGTCAACAAATATGTGTTTACCATTTATAATTGATCGTATGCAGTTTAAGAAATTAGGTCAACAGTGTCAAATGAGATGTATTTAGTATATATTAAACCCAGTAATTACACTCAGACTCTGTGCACCGGATGTGTCATCTTCTGAGAAACCTGGAGTGAGTATGTGTACTTCAAGTGTATAAACAAGTATAGATTGAATACTTTATGAATGATGTCTTGGGAAAATATTAAGAGAGGGATAAAAAGGAAAGTAGATGTGCCAGTGATATTTGTTTAGTTTTTGCTGTTCAGTTGATGGAATTACTTACGTTTTTCTATTTGCAGAAGGATAGAAAACTATAATGAAAGGGAAAAGAGGGAAATACGGTATCAATAAGAGAAGTTAAGGTGCACAAAATTAGCGTAATATCCTTTTTGTTTGTTTGTTTTCCATATATAGTAATATGGGTGATTCAGAGACTAAAAGAAGAAAAAGAATGACAGGTAGGTAAATCAACTGAAGAATTTAGAACTTTTCATGCAATTGAAAATCATTAGGTAACAGTTTATTCACAGAAATATGCTGTCCATGCACTGAGAATTCAGTTAAATAATTACTGTGGTTGTTACATATCATTGGTCTGAAGAAAGTATTGACATTGGCTACTGAGAATAGAAATACATACATTTACTGTCCTGCAGGTTATACAGACTCTGAGTCTGTAACTCTTAGAGCAGTGTTCAAGGCACATCTTTTTTTATCTAAGGGGAGAGACTGAGTACAGTAGTTGTATTTCCTGGTGATTGTATTTGTTTCATTTTCCAAACAAAATCCCCAACAGCTCAAAAGCACTGTGACACACTCATAAATGGTGCCTGACAGCACAGAATATGGTTCTTCAGGACTATCAACGCTTTCCTTTTAGAAGCACTAAGTAGTACTATATTTTCATGAAATAAGAAATAAGGGTCAGATTTTTATCTCAGTTACACTGCTGTAAATCTGGAGTAATTCCGTAAAATTTCAAAATAATTGCTTCCAATTTACACCATTATAATTGAGATCAGAATACACAGAATTGTACAAACATACTGCAATTAAACAAATAGTCATAAATTATGGCTTAAAATTAAACTTTATTTCTTCAGCAGTTATTATTTGCAATACTTTCATACTGAATTTACATTCATTAGATTAAAATGATCCATGCATCCATCCTCTTATGACTTTTTCCTTGTTTAAATTATCACAGCTTCAGTTACTTTAATTTAAAGTATCTCTTCATAATTACTGAAAATGTGTACAGCTAATCTCATCGTGTTGCTGTGGCAGTTTAATCTAGGTGAAAGACATTCATGAACAAACATTATTAATTGATGTTTCTAATCTTTCAAAGGTCAAGATCCATCACATTGTTCTGCATTTCATTATTTGATTAAAGCCAAATATACTTCACTGTGAATACTTATCTAACACTTGTGAAGTGCAATTTAGTTTTCTGCACCATTTTTCTATTGAATGGGAATTAAAATACAGCACCAAACCTGTTGCCATGTTCATACGACAAAGCTTTGAACGTGTCGAAACAAAAACCATGGTTTTTTTTATTTGCTTTTATCCCTTTTTCCTAACAGTCTCCATAAAATGAAGTAGAAATTAGAAAAGCTTATAGCTGACTTTTGAGACCATGAATATGGAATCCAAATTTCCCCTGGTTTTTAATTCCTTGAAAGCCAAGATGAATTTAAGTTTTCATATAAAAATCTGAAGTCTTTAGTCATCATGGGGGTGGGACTGAAAGTTTACCACGGTGATTGAGCTAATATACTGAAATCACTTCTGCTAAATTGCACATCTCTTCACCAGTAAGGAACTTGAACTGTCCTCAAGATGGAAATTACTCCTAGCAAGGGAAAGTAGAAGCAGATGCAGCCTGAGAAAATCTATCCCAGTTTCTCAGATATCAAATAGTGGACTCTACTTTGATTCTGATCACTTGATTTGGTGTGCCTGTCATCCCAGGTTTAAAATAACCTTCTTACTAACAGACATGTATTGGGTAGATAAACAGGCACCTAAAAATATAAATCAACAAGTAAATATATATTAGAGCAGTATCTCTATGTAATCTTAACTCTTATGGAAAATAGTACTTTCAGAAACATCAGTACTTTTACTACTACTGCTACTATAGCCTCTTTCATATAAAGATCTCAAATCATTTTACAAGTACATTAATAGTTAACCTACTTCACTTGTGAGGTAGAGTAAATATTGTTATGAGGTGTTATTATAATTGTGATTATCCATATTATATGGAGGAACCCAAGGCACATAATTTAAATGACTAGCTCAAAGCTCCAGAATGAATCAATGGACAGAGTTGATAATTGACACCAGGAAACTTAGCTTACAGCTCCTGGTTATAACTAGGCCACACTCATCACTCTGTATCACTAGACGTGCATTTAATGTTGTTATAACTATAGTACCATTTTATATGAAAAGATCAATTTCAACACCTCACCGGCAGAATATATATTCAGTAGAGAAAAAATCTGCAGGGGGACATGAATTCTACTTGTGCGCAATACTCCCCCAGAAGTAATATATCTGAGCACCATCCATATGAAATCATTAGCAATAGCAAAGTGTGTAGGGGACTTAGTGTCTCTGTCATTTATTCCTTTTCAAGGTAAAATATGTACTAGGGGTAGGATTTGTGGATTTGATTTTTTTATACTTTATTAATTTAGCCTTTGTTGTCGTAGGGGGGAGGTTCAGTGTTGTGAGTTTCATATGGTGGAAAAGCCTTTCCAAAAGGAAAGTTTTGGAGCATTTTCTAAAGACAGATTCTGGATTTTCCTAATCTTTGAATGTCTATTCAGTAGCTGCATATCCTCAACTCTCGTGCATTTTGTGTAGGCCTTTTTGATCTACATTGTTCCAGAGCAGTGCCACTGTCTCAGCAGTTATTATATTAGGTCAGAATTCAGTATTTACTAGCTCAGTCCCCAGCTACATTAATTCTTGCGCAAGAAGCCTGCAGTGTAGATGTAGCCTTTGTGTATGTCTACACAGCAATGACTGGCCCAAGTCTGCTGATTCCAATTCACAGGGCTCAGACTGTGGGGCTAAAAATTGTCTTCAAGGTAGGAAGTTCCAGAGCTTGGGCTCCAGCCTGAGTCTACATGTTTTCACAGCAATTGTTAGCCCCATAAGCCTGAGTCAGCTGACCTAGGCCAGCTATGGCCATGCCACAGGCTTTTAAATCAAGTATAGACACACCCTGTAAGCCCCAGGAGTGTTGGCTCCCAAGTTTTGAGCTCAGCTGGTGTTTCTGACTCCCCTTAAAGCCATCAGGGACAATTTTAGTTTTTAAATTATTGAAACAATTTTGAAATTCTGAAACCCTCTGGGAAATGGAATTATGGTTCTCCTCGTGATCTAATCAGGACTGCATTGTGTGCGCAGCATTGTACCAAAAAGATGGTGTCTACCTCCAAGGAGTTCAGGTTCTATCAATACTTGTATTACTACTCCTGTTTTCAAGTGGTTACAGCGTGGTCACAAATTTCTTCTACCAAAATTTGACACGGTCTCATTCTGAAATTAATTTTTCCTTCCCATATGTAATAGAACATCACTCTTGGCCAAGTCTGTGTTCCTAGCATAATGCTGACAAGAACTTCCATAGCTTAACATTGTGTATTTTCATATATTGTCCCTAAGTGTCCTCTTCTCCCTCAAAAAAAGTCTCTGTCCCCTTTTGGTTTGTTTTCAGCTTGCATGTGTTTCTCCATCAAACTGTTTAAATATGAATAGTACTATAGTAAATGAAGCAATGAATTCACACTAATGTGGTTCTTTTGGGTAATATTGATCACTAATTTGGCCCCTGAACCACTGTGTGTCACTGGTCTAGGCACTGTGGCATTAGGCATATTTATTACAGTATGTAGGGAGGTAGCTATGGGCTTCTGCAAAATACGTTACAGTTTATATGCTTAGGCAGTGCATAACTCTTACATTTGGGAAGGCTGGATGTGAGCACCAGAAGCTCCTTAAGAGTTGGAGGGGCCACTGATACCTGAACCATGGCCCTGCCACCCGCTCTGCCCCAAGGCCATACCCATTTTGCACCCTCTTTCCCATTGGCTTCTGCTATTGCTTAGGCTCTTTCTCCAGCATCCTGCCCCTACGATCACTTGATGGTTACCTGTTCTGTTCACTCCCTCTGGGGCACCTGGCATTGGCCACTATTGGGAGGCAGAATACTGGGCTAGATGGATCTTTGGTCTGACACGGTATGTCGGTTTTTTGTAAATTCCATACTGGGAGTTCAAACAGGTTTAACAAGCAAATTTAATTTAAAAATGTAGATATTATTTTGATCATTAATTGAAAGAGAGAACTTACTGAAGCAGAGGCTCTTTCTTTAATTACAGAGAAAAATTAAGATTAAGAAAAATTAAGATACACCAGGAATTTGAGAATTAAAGTCTTAGTTTGCTTATAAGAATTTTCTTTGATCCAAGATCCAGGATAAACTTTGTAGTCTATCATTTGTTCCTTTTGGAAGAGTGATGCTGAAGTAATAATTCAGCAGTCCCATTTTCAAAGTCTTATTAGATATAAACAGCCTGGAACCTGTCAGACAAGAAATATTGCTATCATGATTGCTTCCAACAGCTTTTGGAAAAAAAAGCTATTTTCATGATTATGATTCTTCCATTCGCCAAATTGTTTGAATCATTCAGGAAAGAGAGTTGATTCCTGAGCCCATTTACACCCCATTTTAATGTGTCATATTTAGAATTCCAACTAGCTTAGACTTCTTGTTCTTTATTCAACTTTTCTGGAAAAAAAGTCAAAATTTGGTGCCTTAGAGAATGTTAAGAGTGTGATTCTATAATAGTAAAGGCATGGAAAGAATCTGGATGGAGTGATTATTTCAGTACTGCTGGAATTTCATTGTATTTCACAATTCATGAAGGTGTAAAGGCACCTAGGCCTTGGAGTAGGCATCTCTTTCATAGTTTTATATCTAAATAAATAAATTTTCTCCAAAGATACGAGCCTATAAAGGGCCATTTATGCAGAATCACCACTCACACTTAACTCGAAGAATATAGAAAAGTGAATTAGTGATCAGCATTGAGAAATCTGCTTTGCATCATACTTTAATCCTGGGGTGGGCAATAATTTTTTATGTGGGGCTACTCCAACAATTCGATAAGTAGTCAGAGGCTACATTTCTCCATTATATTAATGAAGGAGGTGTGGGGATCTGGGATGGAGGTTGGGTGCAGAAGGGAGCTGAGGATAAGGGATTGGTGTGTGGGATCTGGGAGGGAGTTTGGGTGAAGGAGGGGATTGTGACCTTGGGCAGTGAACTGGGGTACAGGAGGGGATACAGGGTCTGGGATGGGAGAGTGACCTGGGATTAGAGGTGCAGGGATTTGGGCTGTGATCAGGGATAGCAGATTGGGATGCAGGGTCTGGGAGCGATATGGGTGCAGGAGAGGATTCTGACCTGGGGGAGGGGTGTAAGAAGACGGAGTGCAAGCTCTGGGAGGGGAGTTGTGACCTGGGGCATGAGGTGGTGCAGGGTCTGAGAAGATGTAGGGGGCTGGAACAAGGGTGCAGAAGGTTTGGGTTACATGGGGTAGGAATCCAGGAGGGGGGCAGAGAGTTGGAAGAAGGAGGGGCTGGAGTGCCAGAGGCAGGCTCTGGCTGGATGGCTCCCAGCTAGCTACCCAACAGATTTCGTAGCCAGGGTCTCTGCCCCGTACGTGCTCAGAGCAGCTGCATGGGCCATGTTTGCTGCTCTGAACTGAACGAGGTGAGTGCAGAGGATGGGGAGGAAGGGGCACTTCACATGCTGCCTGTCCTGCAAACAGGCAGCTGCTATTGGCCAGAAACAGGCCAATGGGAACTACTGGTGATGAGGCAGCGTGAGATGCCACCCCTCACTCCTCCAGACTCTCAGCATTCAGAGATACACACGTGGCCCCACAGTGGCTTTTCTGAGTACTAAGCAGGGGTGGGGAAGGTTGGAAGCTGGTTGAGGCTCCTGCGGGTTGGATCTGACGGCCACGGGCCATATTTTGCCCAGCCTTGTTTTATATGGTATGTATTTTTATAACCAAATTCAACCAGATTTTCCTTTGATTTCAGCTATCAATCCTAGATATGTACTTAGGAATTGGATGGCAGAATCAGCTGTGCGAAAAGCTGAAATGAATGATTTTTCGGAGGTAAAACCGATTGTCTAACGAAGCTAGACGAAATGAAGCTAACGAAATGAAGCTAACGAAATGAGTGTTGTGTTCATAACAATTTGATCAGTATGACCCTTCAATAGCAAAAGTAATAAGCATCCAAAGGAGTAATTCCCTAAGTAATTCAATGCGTACTATATTTTGCCCCAGAGAAGCTATGAAACAATTTTGTGTGAAATGGCTTTTTAATTGTAATTGTTTCTAGGTACATTTCCTGCAGCAAGTATTACAACATCCCTTTCAGAAGCAAGCAGCAGCAGAGAAATCTGGCTATTCGCACCGTCCACCTGCTTGGGCCAAAGATCTTAAAATCAGCTGTTCATCCTGATGATGAGCAGCTGAAGCAAGAGAAAAGGAGGATTAGAACTCAAGCCTTGAAACTAGCATGGGGAATTAGGCAACACTACCCTTTCTCTCCTATCCTGTCTCTAACTGTAGACTTGGATCTCAGTCTATGTGAGATCTTGACCATGTCAAGAGAACTGGAGCTCTGTATGGAATTTACTGGCATTTCTAGTTCTGACCCACATATCTATTTATGCATTAATTTGCATCCAACAAAAAATGCAGTCCCATTAAGGCTGTCATGTTAACCTCCCCAAATCCATTCCCTTTATGCTGTGTCTTTATTAGTTGTCTCTTGATAAATTTAAAATGCACCTGACATAGTTTTAATCCTAGAATATTTTGATTGATGCCCCCAATATGTGTTCAAATATAGCTATATTTTGTTCTGGAGAAGGAGGCCAATCCAGATCTTAGCTGGACAGGATTAGTATTGCAAAATGGCAGCCTTACTAAGTTTTGTCTAAATGACCTCACTGCTGCTTATTAAACTTCCAGTTTTTTAAGGAAATTAAATCAAATGGTGAGCAAATGTATATGGGGAATGGATTGTCCAAGACTAAACAGGGATTTTTTTTATACCCATCTGTCTGTGGGATTGACTCACTTCTTCTCTTCCTTGCCAGTTTTTAGCATTTGACAACATTGATATTCATTTAGTACTGGTGTAATTCCTCAGGGAATGTTTACTGGGTAGACATTCAACCTTCCTGAAGACAACGCGGCATATAAATTTAAATTAGATCAAGGTGCTTTTCATACTCAACTTCCAGCTGTGCAGTGGAAGTCTAGCAAAAGAATGTTGGAAAAAATGGAAATATTGCCAAAGATGAGTTACTTAACAATCCAATGGATAAATATATAGACATGCTAGTCTTCCCATCCTTCGAGACTGAGGCCATGTCTATACTAAATGGAAGATCAATGCTGTGGTGGTCTAGAAAAGACCCAAAGATGTGGACCTCCCCTAAAGGAATTGCCAGGGAAGCCTTGCTGATCCTTAAAGGACACTCGTAACAGTCCTCCGATTAGGACAGGCAAGCAGAAAAACTTCAAAAACAGAAATAACATTTCTTTAGAAGGGAGTGGTTACAGTGGAAGAATGGAAATAAGAGGGTGACAAAAGGGAGAATAAAGCGGCACAGTGAAGAAAAGCAATGCAATAAAGTTACAATTCAAAGAATAAAACAACACAGTAGATGACTAAGACTTTTGTTTTATTAGTATGATCTGATTTGTGAGCATCATGGAAGTAGTTTTTACTGAATATGTGAATGACAAGAGATTGGTGGCTTGGAACAAGGATGGGAAAAAAATTCCACTCAGAGATCAACATGACTTGGTTTGAGCCAAAATATCTAATCAATGTCTCCTGTGTAGGCTAGACAGTGCTGCCTCAACTCATTTACCAACTGCATAATAGTAAAAATGCAAAGTACTGGTCTCATCTTCAAAGTGCAGTACTCAGAAGAATAAATGGACACAAAGCAGACATGAAGAATGGCAACATATAAAACCATTGGTGGGAACACTTTACCTTCCCTGGGGACACAGTTTCTGACTGCCATTCATAAAAAAACCCTTCAAAAACAGACTGCAATATGAAACTGTTAATCATGTATTCACATGCAAATTTGAAACCCTAAAAAACAGTTTAAATAGAAACATGGAGTGGTTTTCACATAATACATAATTTCCCATTCAGGTACTCTCACCTTCTCAACACTGTTGGGCATTACATCTACACTGTGGCTTTTGCTGCAAGAGCCTATTCAAATGAAGTGCAGATTAGCATAGCACTGCTTCATTTGCATAATATATTCAAGCTGTTTTTGCACAAAAACAAGCGGTGTGGATAGGGTTTTTTTGCGCAAAAATCCCATTTTCCGCAAGATCCTTAAGCCTCTCCAGTGGTGGGTGGGTTTGGATACAGGAGTGGGGCCTCAGGCGGAAGGGGCAAGGCTGGGGCTTGCCTTCCCCAGCTAGGCCTTCACTGACCTCCCATGGACACAGCAATACAATAACAATTTCAGGTAGGAGAATGAATACTCTAACATAACAATTCATGTACTATAACAATATATTCATTCACTTAATACTCTATAACAACAGAAGTAAACATTTAATCATAAACACATACTAAATGTAATCACAGGCATCTAACTTTATTTACAAGCAAAACCTATACATTGTATGAATGAAGGGGTAGAAAGAAAGATTAATTTTAACTTTAATATTCCTCTGATTCATTTCTTGTATGGTACGTCTATAAATAAATGATGAAACCTCCATTTGCTGCTGCTGAGTAAAGCGCTGTTCTCCAGTGGCAGAGACAGGGTAGCTGGTGCTGCAGACGTGTGCTGGCTGGATCGGAGAAGCAATCACTGTGCTGGGCAATTTTAAAATTCTTTGATTGCTGGTGCTACTACTTTTTGGGTAGTTGCTTCTTGGTAGGTTCTGTTGCTTCTGCTTCTCAAGTGGCTGCTTCTGTGCTGGTATATTGCAGCTTTTGCTCTCCTCCAAGGTCCCAATCCCACTACAGCTTCAGCTTGTCCTCTGTTGCTCTTATATAATGGTTGCTCATCCAGGTTCAGCCAATCACATTCCAGCTTTCTAGCTCCACCCAGTCACTTGTACCTAAACATTATTGGAATCTTCTCTTGGTCCATCCCCTTGGAAATCTCATGTAGCCCTCTGTGCAATATTAACTATTTCTGTGATATGCTGTATTATCCTTTATTTTGATAAAAGGTTGAATAGTTTCCCAAAAACTCCTTTGGTATAAAAATGATCAGGTAGTAGATAGCTGCAGTGTTTTTGAGGGAGTTTTTAAGCCTAAGGAGGACTCAAAGATAATTCTTGATCCCTTCCTAATTACTCTCCATAAAATGACATACTATTGCAAGGGACTGCAGCGGTCAGCAAAGACTGGGGAATGCCCCTTGAGAAGGTGTTTCTGCTGAAAAAATAATACAGCAGGCTGTCTACCCTGGGGCCTTATTTCAAAATAACTACTTTCCCCCAGGTGGAATTTATAAGCAGAACATCCACATTACCAAGCCTGTTATTTCAAAATAACAGGCCATGGAATTCGAAATCTGTACTCCTGCTTCTCATCGGAAGAAATGCTAATTCTGAAATTGCCATTATTTCAAAATAACTATGTGGACACTCTGGTGCCGCTATTTTGAAATTGACTTACTCCCCAGAGTAATTCAAACTAATTATTCCCCAGTGCTTTCTGGGACTCTTAAGTCCAAGGAAACACATACACATTAATGGAGCCTGCCTCAGACTAATTGTGATGCTTCCCTGTATGAGGACTTGCTAGTTTGAATCTCTTAAATTGGGAGTTCTTAAGTCTAATTTAGTAATTTTGAAATAGTTTCCTAGTGTAGACATGGCCTTGCATTCTTCTTATAGGGTTGGTGGCCAACCACTCAGGCAAAGAAACAAGTTTTAGGCCAACCACTCAAGCAAGAACCTGAAGAGCACTGTGTGTGATCGCAGGAAGCCTGGTGCAATGAAGTAGAGGTAGCCAAACTTCCCTTTCTGTATGGACAAGAGATAAGTTATATATATACACATAACATGATAGCCCTCATTAGTTCAAATCTTTGAACCAAACTCTTTCCTAGAGAAATAGTGTAGACTGAATTGGATCCAGTACGTTTTCCTGTTTTTCAGGCAGTGTAAATACAAAAGCATATTCATTAGAGAACCTTGCAAGATAAGCTTCAGAAGAGGAGGGCTAAGAGAGGAAGAAATTTAAAAAAAGAGAGGGCGGGGGAAAGCCCACAAGACACCAAAGATGACGTCTTTAAAATATTTTAATTTGAGAGAGATACCAGATGCCAGTACATTTCTATGGTCATTATCTTTGACATTGTTTGTGTAGATATAAAATAAAAGGGATTTTTAATTGGGAACTAACAATGAATGCACCTTAAATGATCAAGAGAGAATTACAATAAAGCACAAGTGAGGACAGATATGTAGGAGTCAAATTCACATACTGGTGTAAAATATGTGAAAATCTTTGAGATTAATATTTTTAGATATAGTTTAAAACAGCAATTGTTAACCAAAGGAAAAAAAGACAAATTGTTATCTAAAAAGGATTTAGTCTAAAATTAAACAGGTAACATGAAGTTTATAGAAAACCACTGTGATTGCTGACCAAAGGAAGGAATTTTAGTTTTATATGGGGAAATTTGAATTTATACCATTTCAGTGGCGGATTGTTGATGGCATGGTGTGGACTGCCAAAAGCATTATATTCACATTGCATCCTAGAAAGAGCTGATGGAAAGCTTTTCATTAAAAAAACTTCTCCAAATTATAAAATTAAAAATGTTTTTGACCTTTGAAAACTTCAGGTGAAAAAATATTTTAGCTGAAATTTTCTGTATTTTTGATGAAAACCCAGACATTGAAAACAAAAAATGGTCAATATAGAAAAAAATGAAAACATTTCTTTTGAAAAATAATTAGGCTTTTTCAGCCACCTCTAATCCCACCACAGGGCTGTACTTCACTCACCAAATGAAGGCACTAATCTAGGCTGGTACTGATGCCACCATCCCTAGTCATCCATAATGGAGTAGTTATCACAGAGAGTATTTATTAATGGTTCACAGTCATGCTGGAAGGACATAAGTGGATTCCGCAGGGGTCAGTTTTGGGACCAGTTCTGTCAATATTTTCATCAAGGTTTTAGATATTGTCATAGAGAAGATGCTTCTTAAGTTTGCAGATGATCTTAAGCTGAGAGGGGTTTCAAGTGCTGTGGAAGATAGTCATAACTCAAAATGATCTGGACAAACTGGAGAAATGGTTTGAGGTAAATAAAATGAAGTTTAATAAGGATAAATGCAAAGTACTCCACCTAGGAAGGAACAATCCATTTCACCCACAGAATAGGAAGCGACTGTCTAGGAAGGAGTACTGCAGAAAGGGATCAAGGGTTCATATTCGCAAGCTGAACATGAATCAACAGTGTAACACTTGCAAAAAAAGCAAACATGATTCTGGGAGGCATTAACAGGAGTGTTGTGAGCAAGACACAAGAAGTCATTCTTCTGCTCTACTCTGCACTGATTGGTCCACAGCAGGAGTATTGTGTCTACTTCTGGGCACCACATTTCAGGAAAGATGTGAAGAAACTGGAGAAAGTCCAGAGAAGAGCAACAAAAATGATTAAAGATCTAGAAAACATGGCCTGTGAGGGAAGACTGAAAGAATTGTGTTTGTTTAGTTTAGAAAAGAGAAGACTGAGTGGGGACATGATAGCAGTTTTCAAGTACCTAAAATGATGTTACAAAGAGGGTGGGAGAAATTGTTCTCCTTTCCTCTGATGATAGGACAAGCAATGGGCTGAAATTGCAGCAAGGGAGGTTTACATTAGGAAAAAATTCTTAACCATCAGGGTAGTTAAACACTGGAATAAGTTGCCTAGGAAGGTTTTGGAATCTCTGTCATAGGAGATATTTAAGAGCAGGTTGGATAGACATCTATTAGGGATGATCTAGATCAGTGGTCCCCAACCTTTTCAGGTTGTCGGGCGCCAGGGGGCGTGGCCGTTTGCCTGCCGGGCGCCAGGGGGCGGGGACACTTGCCCACCCGGGGGCGGCCCCCCCATAGCCACGCACCCGGGGTCGGGGGCCCCCCCATAGCCACGTATCCGGGGTCGGGGGCCCCCCCCATAGCCACGCGCCCGGGGCCGGCGCG